ATATCTGGAAGTTCTTGGGTCACATACTGCTGAAGCCTAGCTTGAAGGATTTTGAGCATAATCTTGCTAGCATGTAAAATGACTGCAGTTGTATAGTAATTTGAACATTCTCTGGCATTGCCTTTCTTTGGGATTGGAATGAAAATGGACCTTTTCCAGTCCTGTGGCCACTGCTGAGTTTTCCAAATTTGCTGGCATAATGAGTACACCACTTTAACAAAGTGCTTGTGCTGATATTTACAAATTACTGAATAGAAATTTTCAAAGCCAATAAATTTAATACTTGAAATACAGATTTGCTTTTACAAAGGACAAGTATATCTTAAAGAATAATTTCAGATATTAAACTCAGAAACTTCCTCTTCTAGAAGGTGGAGTTTAATCCTTCCCTTCTAACTTGCATCTAAAGAACAGAATATAGAAAGGAGAAAAAGCTTTTCTATATGGTGGGAAAACATAGCAAGTCTGATATTACTGGTTCTTGAGCATTTCTAAGGATTTTTAATAGTATAAATCAATGGTTTATTCCTGAATTTCTTGTTGCTGTTTTAGGATGTAGAATTTGGTTTGGTTTTTTAGTTTTTTTCCCTGACTTTCAGTGGGTTTTCAGAAAGAAAAGTAGCAGGCTGTGCTTAGTTTATTATCTTAAGTTGGAAATTCACTTCAATATCTTTCTAGGTTGGTATATATGTAGCTACCTAATTACTTTAACTGAATACACAGTGAAATATTTAACCACTTCCCTATTGATAAGACACTTGGAGTTGTTTCTAACTTTCTTCTAAACAGTGTTATATTCTTATATATGTTATCTTTATTTACCTGTGTGTGCTGAATCAAGGATATATACACTTTACAAATATTATTTACAGGTAAGTAATTTAACCTCTGTCTCACTTTCCAATCAGAGAACTGCTGTGAGGATTAAATGAGTTAATATGTGTAAGTGCCTAAAACATAGGTTAACAGCCACATAGCTGTTAGTTATCATTGCCAAATTACCCTCTGTAAAGGCTGACTGCATATACTATTTTTTAGAGTACTGTTTTTCCCATCTTTGCTCAGACGCTGGAGATTACAGTCTTTTCTCTTTTTTTTGAAAAGGGGGCAATTTCACTGGTGAAAGTGGTATCTAATTGTACAGTCTCTCACTTCACTATGACTGAGTTTGATCCTCTTTTTGATGTTTATTGGCCATTTGTAATTTTTACATGAATTGTGTATTTCTATCTTTTATCTATGAAATTTTAAAATTATGAAATATTTAAAACTTTATAGATAAACACCTATTTGGGTGCATTAAATAAGAAGGATACTATTTTCCTGTTAATTTGATTACAAATATTTATTCCTAGTGTTTCCTTTTATATTTAGTAGCTTTTAGCAGTGTTCAAAATGTTTGAATTTCTATTAAAATCTGTGTTGTATGGCTTGTTTAAGAATATTTCTAATGTAAAAATATAAAATAAATTTACTCCATTTTAAATTTAATTTTCTTACAGTTTGAGGTCAGGCTCTAATAACACTTTTTTCATGCTTAATCCTCCCTTACTACTTTGAAATGCTGTGTTTATATCAGGTACTAAATTTCCAAATAAGCGTGTGTTTTTAAAAAGTACTCAGGTTGATACATGTGCTAGAGAAATCTCAATATCTAATAGAGATTATAAGCTTGTTTTCTTCTCTGATATGTTGCTTGATTCTGTTGTAAACTGGTAGGACGACTTTCATTCACTCTGTGTGTTATTTTCAAAGCATCACGAAGAAAGCCCCCATGTAAGTCTGCCTAACCCTTGAATTCCTTAGTCTAACCCAGTCCTCGGCTTATCTCAATGGCTGGATTTCCTTGGAGAACAGAGCAATTCTAGGAGCTTTGGGTAATATGGATTAGCTTATATGACTCATATCACAATGAAAACAGAAAACAAAATTCTTTTTTAGAACTCCAACACAGAGGTTTTTTTTGTTTTTTTTTTTTTTAAAGCCAATTACAAAGTATATATGGGACTGATGCTGAAGCTGAAGCTTCACTACTTTGGCCACCTGATGCAAAGAGCTGACCCACTGGAAAAAGACCCTGATTTTGGGAAAGATTGAGGGAAAGAGGAGAAGAGGGTGACAGAGGATGAGATGGTTGGATGGCATCACTGACTCAATGGACATGAGTTTGAGCAAACTCTGGGAGACAGTGAAGGACAGGGAAGCCTGGTGTGCTGCAGTCCACGGGGTCAGAGTTGGACACGACTGAGTGGCTGAAGAACAGCAACTATTAAGGAAACTTGAATTCATGATTTTAAGCTATTAATATTAAAAATAAATGAATTTATAGGCCCAGATGGTGTCACTGAAGAATTCTAGTAAACATTTAAAGAAGAATTAAAACCACTCTATACAATCTCTTCCAGAAAAATAAAGGAAACACTTCCCAATTCATTTTAGAAAGCTAGTATTATCCTGATATCAAAAGGAAAAACACTCCTACTCACAGATGACCTAACTATCTACAGAGAAAATACCAAGAAATATACCCCAAAAAAACACTCTGAGAATGAAAGAGTGAGTTCAGCCATCTCATAATATACAATTAACATGCTGGTACCAAACTTGGACTATAAAATGCCATTTATAATCACTCTCCCAAGAATGAAATACTTAGCTATAAATCTAAAAAAACATGTACTGGACATGTATGTTGAAAACTATACAACACTGGTGAATGAAATAAAATCTAAATAAATGGGAAAACATACCATGTTAATGGATTAGCAGACTCAACAGAGTAAAGATGGCAACTTTCCCCAAACTGATACATGGACAACACAATTCCTATTAAATTCCCAGCAAGACTTTGTGTATAGTCAAAATTATTTAAAACTTACACAGAAAAATAAAACAACTAGAATAGCTAAAACAATTTGGAAAAAAAAATAAAGTGGATATTATTCTGGTTTCAAGATTTACTAGGCAAAGAAAAGAAACCTCAATCTAAATCTCACACTGTGCAGTAAGGATCAGCATGTCTGGGTTTTCCACACACTGCACATTCCAAGAAAGGTGTGGCCCTTGTCTGGCTCCTAACATGTAACCTCTGAATCCTTGAAACATCCTGCCTAATAAAGAGTGTCTTTGTTTACCTGGGGTCCTTGGGTAACTCCAAGCATATAGTCTGTGCTAATAATGTGATTTATGGTAGGAGTCTTGAACCACGTAAGGTCAGCTTGACTTCTCAAAGGCTGGAAAGTAAGGTCATGCATACAGGCATTCAACCATATCAATATAACCTACCCACAGTAAAAGTCCTGAACACCAAGGACTGGATGGCCTTGCTGCTCTATGTGCTCTCACACAACACTGCTGAGAGAACCGATCACCGTCCAACAACTCCACTGGGAGAGGACAACGGAGCGTTTGGACCTAGTGTTTTCTGGACTCTGCCCTTTGCTCCTCTGTTGCTAATTTAAATCAGTATCCTTTTGCTGTAAAAAACTATAACCACTAGCATTAACAGCTTTTCTGAGTTCCAGGAAATAACTGAGCCTAAGAGTGGTCTCAGGAACACCCAAACATATACACATTGTAAAAGTATTAACTCAAAACAGACCACAGACTTACAGAATATAAAATGATTAAATTTTTAGAAAAAAAAAAAGAGAAAAGTAAAATATTCAAGATCTGGGACTAGACAAAGAATTCTTAGCCTTGATCCCAAAAGTACAATCTATACAGGCAAAAACTGATACACCGGATTTACAAGCTTAGGAACTGTTGCTCTGCAAGAGACACGGTTAAAGGATGAAAGACAAGCCAGACCAGAAAAAAATGTTTACAAATCAAATAGCCAACAAAGGATTAGTGTCTGAAATATACAAAGAATGCTCAAAACTCACCAATTAAAACAGAGAAAATTCAACTAGACAAGGCAAAAGATAAGAACATTTCAACAAACAGAACAGACAGATGGCAAATAAACATCTGTGAAAAAATGTTCAACATTATTAATCTTTAAAAAAAATGAGAATTAAAACCAAAATGAGGTATCACTACATTCCTATCAGAAAACCTAAAATTTAAAACCAAAGAAAAAACAAATAAATAAAAATCACCAAGGGCTAGCACGGCTGAAGAGAAAGTTTGATTACCCATACTATCTATTTACATTGCTGATGGAAACATAGAAGTCACTCTGGAAAACAGTGTGACAGTTTCTTTAAAAACTAAACATGCAACTCCCATACGACCAGCAGCCGCACTCTTGGACACTGACCACAGAGAAATGAAGACGTGTGTTCACACCAAAACTTATACATGAATGTTTACAGCAGCTTTATTTCTAAAAGCCCAAAACTGCAAACAACCCAGATGTCTTTCAGTGGTTTAATGGTTAGGCAAAATGTGGTCTATCCAATACCACCACTGCTATAAAAAGAAAGGAACCATTAACGCACACAACAACCTGGATGACTCTTCAGAGAAAAAAAGCCAGTTCCAAAGAGTTACATACTGCATGGTACAACTTACAGGGTACGCTTGAAATGACAAACAAAATTACAGAAATGCAGAATAGATTAGTGGTTTCTAAGAGTTAAGAAGAGGGGGAAGGGAAAGTGGGTATGAACAGAATAAGGTATACTGTGGTGAGAGAAATGTTCTGTATTTTGACTATATCAATGTTGGGATCCTGAAGTGCAGTTTTGCAAGAAACCAAGGGGTGGGTGAGCAATGAGATAAAGGTTGCATTAGAATCTCTGTACCATTTCTTTAAATCACATGTGAATCTACAATTATTTCAAAATTAAGTTTAGTTTAAAAATGAAGAAAGGAAAATCTAATCTGATCAGAAGAACAATTTCATTTGATATACAACAACACTGAACATTACTAAATATTCAAACATTATTTTATAATTTTTTAGTTTGGAACAATAAGACATGTCCCTTGTATTTTCTCAATTACAACCATTCTGCACAGCTTCATGTCTAACCAGTAAGAATTTAGCTCACCTTCCACGCTGTCAGAACAGGAAGTTCCAATTCCAGTATCACCACTGTCAGAAGCTATACTATGTCTCCTGATATGGCTATTTCGCTGATTAGATGGAACAGTTGTGGCCTGCCACAATGATTCATTACCAGGTAACCATGCTGATGAAGAATAATCTGGGCCTACAAAGGAAAATATGCAAAAAGTTAATAAATTTATAATGTCTATGAGTAGGTAGAAGACATCTTTTGGCCTTGTTAAAAAAAACACAAATAAGATAAAAAGCCTATTTTCTGCCAAAAATAACTTAAATAGATCAGTAATATCTATGAGTCACCAAATAAACTTACTTATCACACATACACAAATTCAGTGCTGACTTAGCAGCTTTCTTTGGCTGAAGATATCTGATTTCTGCTTACAGATACTGAACTTTTAAACACAGAACTACTGTCTGATGTAAAATGTCAACTCAATCATCAATCTGTCTGGAAATGTCAGCACTGTGCTCTGTAATATTTGATAGGTAGGCATCTGTGATCCCATACACAGACATTAGCTGAGAACTGGGACTCAGGAAAAATCTAATCAAAGCATACTGCATGACAATACATGTAGAATGAGCTTGTGGAAAGTCAAAGTGAAAGTCACTCAGTCCTGTCCGACTCTTTCTGAGCCCATGGACTATACAGTCCGTGGAATTCTCTAGGCAAGAGTAGTGGAGTGGTTAGCTGTTCCCTTCTCCCAGGGATCTTCCCAAACCAGGGATCAATCCCAGGTCTCCCACATTGCAGGCAGAATCTTTACCAGCTGAGCTATCAGGGAAGCCCAAGAATACTGGAGTGGGTAGCCTATCCTTTCTCCACAGGATCTTCCCGACACAGCAATCAAACCAGGGTCTGCTGCATTGCAGGCAGATTCTTTACCAGCTGAGCTACTAGGGAAGCTGGAAAGTCAAAACAATCTATTTTCTACGACTATATCCTAACCACTTAAAATTTAAAACTATTTTGCTTATTTTAATCGATTCTATTTCTTTAGTTATCTTTGACAAAATTTTAACACCAGAACATTTCCTGGCTCTTAATTTTCCCTTTTGAGTTACAATAAATCTTCACTGTTCAGCTAATTTATCATTTTTCAATGTTCTCTTAAACTTCATTTTCACTTATTTGCCCATTATTTACTTAACTGACATTTGCCTTTTACCTGATTTATCCATCATTTTACCTTCCTGTTCATTCCTTCTTTTACCGTCTACAATGTCTCAAAATATACCATGGACCAGGGTCAATCTGTGAACTATTTACTACTAGCTTGTTAACAATTAGGAACAGAAATAAAGGATAAGCAGTGAAAAATGTTTACAGTAATTTGAAAACAATTTTAAATCTTGAATTTTACACAAAAGCTATAGCAGTACCTATCTTTATTAATGGTCAACATACTGACTCTAAAATTGAAGACTATAGACTTATTTGTGGGTGTTAACAAGTTCTGTACAAGAATTTTGAGACTTCATTTCAATTATACCCTTGAAAAGTAATAAGCACATTACAGATGACCTGAATAGCTACCTTAAAGCAGACTTATTATCACATAATTATAATGCTCTCATTGGGTTTTATGTTTGCAATTGCAGTTGCTTCCAAGTAAAGGAGAAATGAGAAGGCACTTATCATCATGATGTGAAATAAGACACCTTTACAGAATCATCATGTTACATGCTACTGAAATTGGTAGGCAAGGAGAACTTTCTAGCAGCTTAATAAACACAAGAATCACAAAATGACAAAATATCCACACAATTAATCACCATTATTTTACCACATTTAAAATAGACATTCTCTATATTAATATCAAAAAGAGGTTAATAATAAAACCAGACCTGAATCTATTTTCTACCATATTAACCACAACATTAAAGCTTTAATTTTAATAAAATACTGTCTCAAATTATTTTATTTTCTCTTTATATGCAATTTATAAATTAAGTTTGAATTAACTCTAGTTTAAAAAATGGTAGCCAAAGACACATTTCCACCAGCTTTGAGATCCAGAACAAGTGAAAACTTGGTAGATTCTACATCAATCTCAAAACTGGGTTTACCCTAATTCATCTGATTAGGCACTCACATATTAAAGCACCAAGTGAAGGCATTTTGTCACCAGAGGTAGTCTACTGTCATCTGTCTATTATCTGCACCAAACATCCTTCCTTTAAACAGTTCCTCAGGTATCAATAATATTCCATTTAAATGAACTCCAAGTCCTATCTAAACCATTATCAAAAAGGAAAAACAGCCCACTATTTTCTCTCCCAAGTGCAAACCTATTAGTTGGAGAAATATTTTTCTAGGAATACTCAGGAAAGAACATGGGCTTCCCAGGTGGCGCTAGTGGTAAAGAACCCTCCTGCCAATGCAGGAAACGTAAGAGACGCAGGTTCAATCCCTGGGTAGGGAAGATCCCCTGCAGTAGAACATGGCAACCTATTCCAGTATTCTTGCCTGGAGAATTCCATCCATGGACAGAGGAGCCTGGAGGGCTACAGTCTAAAGGGTCGCAAAGAGTCGGACATGACTGAAGTGACTTAGCATGCAGATGAAAGCATAAACAGGCTGGAAGTACATGGAAATGGCAAATAAAGATATGAAAAGATGTCCAACCTTACTAATAATGAAATGAAAAAGTCAACAATGCTCTTATTTTTAGGCTTTTAAATCATCTATAACATTAAATACCGTTGGCAAATACTTGAAATATCAATGCCAAAGTGCAGGGCAAGTCCACATACTTTTATGGGCACATAAATTGATAGAGCGTTTCAAAATAGGGCATCTGAAAACAGGTGTCTCAATTTCAACATGTACCTAAGTTTCAACATAAGACCTCCTGGTAGGAGTTTTTATAAAGAAATAACAGAAAAGTATAAAAATATATAAGCACAAGGACAGTACTTCTTTAAATAAAAAAATAAATGCCTAGAAACAAAATACAATCTGTAAGTTAGTTGATACTATTTAAGTGCTAAAAATAATTTTAATGACCTATTTTTTTAACATGTAGTGACATCCAAAATGTTAAGTATGTATGGGAGAAAAGCATTTATATAGCTGCTTTTATAGTATGCTTCCATGGCTGCAGAAGAATTGTACATTTACACATACAGAAAAAGGAGCTTTCAGGGAGCTCCACATCTAAATGTTGATACTAACTACAATGTTTTACTAAAGAAACAAATACAGAAACATTCACTCTGTCACTAGGGATGATAATGATGATTATACACTATCATCTTAAGAAAAAAATGCTGATTACTTTTACTCATTTGCAGATTACATCAGCATTTGATTCTGAAAGGAACCAGCTACAGAGCAAGATAAGTAAATTCAAGATCCCTAGTCAACAATTTTATAAAAGCTGCATTAAGACCCCTGAAATAAAGTAAATACACTTCTTTTTAGACAATGTAACTATTTTGAGTAGTATAAAGTAGTGTTACATATTTAGCCCACAACAACTCCACTCCATTTGTTGTTAACAAATCTTGACCCAAGGAAACTAATTGTATACAGAAGGATATAATCTCCCCCATCCCACGTACACACACAGACACACCGTAATGGGGATAAAAGAAAGAAAAAACCCACCAGTAATGATACAGTATTATTATCAGAAGCTAGGAAGATGTTCCTAGCTTAAATCATCAACTATTACCAGGAAGAATGGCTCAAAAAAACTTTTTCTGTAAAAGGTCAGTGAGTAAATATTTCCACCTTTGCAAGCCATCTGATCTCTATCAAAACTAACTGTCACCACTGTTATAAAGACAGTAGTAGACAACAGGCCAGGTGTGGCTGTGTTACAGTAAAACTTTACAAAAATGAAGAAAAGCTAGATTTGACCGACAGGTCATAATTTGCAGATCCCTGATCTAGAGTAAAAAAAAAAAAAAATTATTCTAATTTGTAAATATTCTCTAAAATTCAGCTGATTCAAAATGAGTAACTCGAGCCAGCACATTCATTCATTCCTTTCTTCGAAAGAAATTCTAGTTCATCCTAGAGCACATACCTGCAAGTACTGCTGCTCCAAATCTGAAAATTCATGGCAGCGTTATCGAAATTTTCTGTGGACTACCAATACCAGTAACTTTTTGGATTTCTTTTTCCAGAATAAACAGTCTCAGTTTGTAATAACGAAGAACCTTTTATATTCTGTTACAAGTTAATCACTAAAGGGAGGTTGCCTATAAGCTACACACACATTATAATGACCCATCTCTGGGAAACCTCCCAGATAATGAGCATGAAGGGAAAAAAAAACACCTCTGTTCAGCTCACAGGAAACATTCAGGCCAGGCCCACCTAACACATCCCCTCCAGAGGTTGGTGCTGTTGCTGTTCAGTTGCTCAGTTGTGTCCGACTCTTTGCGACCCCGTGGACTGAAGCCCACCAGGCTCCTGTGTCCATGAGATTTTCCTGGCAAGAGTATTGGAGTGGGTTGCCATTTCCTTCTCCAGGGGACCTTCCCAACCCAGGGATCGAACCCATATCTCTTGAGTGGGTTCTTTACTGCTCAGCCACTAGGGAAAGCCCCAGAAGCTGATGAGAACCAGGAAATGTCTGACTTGACTCCCTCCCCACTGGCCATAAAAGAAGCCTGAATTACAACTCAGGCAAGAGGATTCTCTGGGGCAGGAGCCTACCATCATCTGTTTGCTGGCTTTCCAAATAGTCACTACTCCTTGCCTCAACCACTCATCTCTTAATTTGCTGGCTAGTTGTATGAGCTTGGACTCAGTGACAAGTTTATTTGTGTATTTTTTCTTGGGGGGCGGGGTGGGGAGGCATGCTGCTTCACTTGTGAGACCTTAGTTCCCTGACCGGGGACTGAACCCAGGCCCTTGGCAATGAAAGCCTGGAGTTCTAACCGCTGGACTGCTAGGGAATTCCCCTGTATAGTTGAAGACTCTCAAACAACATCAAACATATATTAATACGTTTGATGATTAACTGTATATGTCAACATAACTGGACAATGAGATGTCCTCATATTGGGATGTTTCTATGAGACTATTTTTGATCTATTTAAATTGTAGACTGAGCAAAGCAGATTGCCCTGCATTATGTGGAAAGACCTCATCAAACTGGCTAAAGGTCTTAATAGAACAAAAGG